AATCAGAAGGCATACAGGAATCTGCTGGTTACTGTGGAGCAGGGAGGCTTCTGGGTATAATCTATTGACTATTGTGACCATTGACTAGGGAGTTTTTCTGGCTGTTAGTTCTTGTACAGGACTGCGTTTAGTGCTTGTTTAATCATTGTTAATGTGAAATCATTTTTTCCTGGACTTTGTAGCTGTTTATTATAGAGGTTTTAGATAATCATCAGTGTTCTTTATAAAAACAGTAAAAAGATTAAAGCAGTGGTGTGTCTGTCTTGCCCAAAGCAGTAAGATTTGTGAAGTCAATTGAGGTTTGTTTGGCTTTTGATTTTTTTTTCTCTCTGGTTTTGAATAGGCCTCTATAAATGTCATCATTGCCACAAAAAGACATAGTGATCCACCTGAGGTATTTCTTCTATTTTTTTTTTTTTTTTGCCAGAAAGCAAAAGAAACTTAAATATTTTGGTTGGTTGTTTTTTGCTTTTTAATTTTACCTTGACTCAAGAGCTATTCTAGCAGGAGGGAGTGAGGAATAAAAGGGGGTAGGGTAAGTGATTCTGCAAGGTGAAGTTCTACTTAAACTCAGCTTTTCTACCCCCAGAAGTCTCCCCAGGGAATGGAGTGGAGTCAAGTGCTTTTTCCTCACTGGGATGTGCATTCTTGAAGGCAGAAATGTCTTCGTCACCCGTTTCCCTGTTTCTGACACAGGGCCTGGCACACCAAGTTGATTGTTAGAAATAAGAAATGGTTCATGTCCATTTTTTCAGTACAGTGTTTTCCTAAAAATATCTTTCTCAAAGCTGAACCGCAATGACTCATGTTGTCAGTTTTACAAAGCCTCAGCAAGAGGGAAATGAAATTGCAGCTCAGTCGCTGGACCGTTCAAAGGTAACGTGGAGGGGGCTACAACAAGGTTTTGACAAGTTGAACGTGGGACCGAGAAAAAGCTACACATTTTTCTTTTTCTAGTTGTTTGCCAAATCCACTCTTGGAATGAGAAAGTGCCCGTTTCTATTGATTAACAGTCTGGGTGGTGGGAAGTTGTGCCTAACAACAATGTGAGACTGTGTTCCTTTGCCCTCGTCTATAACATCAGTATAAATAGTTTCTCTGATGAGTAACTAGGTTTCTGAGATAAGCCCTTCCTTTTATGACAGCTGATAACGCAGGATTACATGAGGTCGTACTGTTAACTACCAGTGAGAGGTTTTGATATGTAATTAGACTTATCCCCTCTGGTCCCCTTTGTGGGCTCCTCAAATGCCACCCTAGCTTGTTCAGTGACAGCATTAATACCTGGAGAACTTACTCAAAAGAAACAGATTAGTTTTCTCCTCTTACCCCTGGTGTCATCCCTTAAAAATCTGTTTTCTAAAGGGAAAAAAAATTTTAGTTGTTAGCACTTCTTATCGAGAGATAGAGAACAAGTTAGCCACCAGATTTATCCTGTTCATTAATTCATAGCACTGCATAAAAATGATGTCATCCAAAGCACAGCAAAACTTCACACTTGCCAATTTTCAGATGATATAAAATACAATCAATTATGGAAAATAATGAAATGGAAGGTGGTGTGGAAAGCCTCCTTAGAGAGCATAAAAACAAGGAATCAATTGCTTAGGAAGGGCGTTGAAATGACAATCAGTCAAGAGGTGTTTACCAGTGGCCAGCTGTAGGTGCAGACTGGGGCACGAGTGACAAGACTCGGCTGTACGTTCACTGCCTGCTCAGTTATCTTCAGCTCACAGCCACCGAAGGCGACGCTTGGTTACAGGTGGGCTAGGTACCTGACATGCACCAGGGGAGAGCCAGCAAGTGCCCAGGTAAAAGTAATCAGTTGTTTGTCCTTTCACTTAGTAGGCATTTGTTAAAATCACCGGGCACTATGGAGGGCATCTTAAAGGAAGACAGACAACCAATTTTGTGAAAACAGAGAAATTCCAGGAGATCCTCTATATTATACCCACAGTGTATAAAAACCAAAAAATGAAGTTTTGCTTTTGGGAGGTAGTCATGCTCAGTGTCACCCACTCCAGCAATTTCCAAAGAAGCCTAGGAACCGGGCAATACATAGATTGTGAAAGTGTATCCTTGACATTCTAAAAGAAAGGTAGAATATTGGGGGGGTGACACTGGGGTTTGAACTCAGAGCTTTATGCTCACAAAGCAGGTGCTCTACTGCTTGAGCCGCACTTCCAGTCCATTTTACTCTGGTTATTTGGAGATGGGGTCTGTAGAACTATTTGTCTGAGCTAGCCTGGAACTGAGATCCTTCCAATCTCAGCCTCCTAAGTGGCCAGGATTACAGGCATGAGCTACCTGTGCCCAGCTGTATTTTATAATTTTAACATGCAAACTGTCAGCATAATTATTTCTGGCATGTTATATATGAAAGGCAGGGGACCATCTGCTGCAAAGGAAGAGAAAGGTGCCTTGATGACTCGGCTTCTGAAAACATGATTTTCTTACCATCCACTCACCTCTCCTTTTCTATGTGACCAGCAGAGAGTCTCCTAGCTCTTGATTTTTTTTTTATCCCGAAAAGTGGGGATAATACACTGTTTCGTTGAAGTCTCCTTTATATAGGTATAAATGGACCTTAGAGAGTCCGTATGGCCCCACCCATGTGGAAATCCTGTGCGCTATTGATGTGTGGGTCATTGTTTCTGGGGAGACAGTCTCAAAGTGCAGTATTTTGGGCTTCCCTGAAATGAGCACTAAATAAATAACCAGAACTTCATATCACACGAAACAAAAATGACTGGAGCCAAATTGCCATCATAGACTGATAAATGAGAAGTAAGATGCTGATAACGTCTGAGAATGTAATAAAACCTGGAGGAGCAAAGTGCACCTTGTTTTGAAATCCCCCTTCATTAGCATCTGAGGGGTGACTGCAAGGACCTGTTCTGGGTGCGATGACATGCATGCAGGGAGGTAGGCCACAGTTCCCTGGGGAAGCTGTTGGCAGAGAACATTCAGGCAGGCGACAGAAGCTGCTGTCCCCAGCCTGACTTGTAATATCCCCATACACTCTGCAGACTGTCCTCTGAGGAAGGACATGAACTCCCACTGTCAACTAAGCCATTCCCAGAGGCAGGGACTGTATTGACCTTGTTCACCATTTTATCCTAGGCTTGGGCACTTATACCCAACAAATAATTGACTCAAAAAATAGCTACTTAACGAGTGAAATTCTTTGGGTCAGAACCAGCTTATTAGTTTAAGTTTTCTTCCGATGGAAGTGTACTTGGGATAGCCTTCACTGGTCAGAGAGCTGGATGATACTTAAATTATACAATTGCAATTTGGGGGGGAACTGGAACCCAGGCCCTCACAAATACTTGGCAAACACTATACCACTGAGCGCCCCTTTCTCTCTCTCTCTCTTTTTTTTTTTTTTTGGAGGTACTGGGGTTTGAACTCAGAGCCTCACACTTAGTAGGCAGATACTCTACCACTTTGAGCCACTCTGCTAGCCCTCTAAGCAAAATTTGTATGGCCTTTCAGTTAGGAGTTTCTGTTTGTGTAATGCTTTATACTCTACAAAGGCTTTTCCATCCACTGTACTCACAAGGCTTACTTCACACATTCTTAGCTAAGAAAATCAGGCTTGAGAATGAAATGGCTTGGCCAACCTCTCAGAGCTGGAAAGGGTAGAGATGTGTCTCAGATCCTTGTTTTTGTGCCAAGTTCGGTATTGTCTTGATCATATGTCCTGGCCTGATGGAAATAAGGTGGCTACGAGCTCTTGTGTCAACAATCCAAAGTCCCATTGACTGGCCTTTTAGAAATTAAGTTGATTTATAAAATTCTATGACTTAGTGCAATTTGAAGTCAGCCTAATTTTGAGAGGGGGGAAGAGAATTCTTTTGTCGGAGGGTGGTACTGAGGTTTAAACTCAGGGTCTTTGCATTTGCTAAGACAGGTGTTATACCACTTGAGCCACACCACCAAGCCTGAGAAACGTAACTCTATGCGTGCTCCTGAGCTGCTCTGAGACCTCATTTTCTCATTTGAGAATTGAAAGGAATGGTACCAGTTCTGCTAACTTCAAAGGCATATTCTATGAGTCAGATCTAAAACAACGCACAACTCATAAATGTCAGGTATTATTTTTATAAAGCATAGTATACATTCAAACATGGCCCCTGCATTTGGGTACACCTAGGTTTGAGGCTGGCGTATCTTACACAACGATGAGGGAGCTATTTTAAATAGCCATGGAGGTGGTCTATATTCCCCCCACATTTAGACTGTGCCATGTGGACAGTACATGACTTAGATGGGTTTTTGTCCTTGAAAATCACAGCTCCCTTCAGGGCAAGATGGACCATGTGAAAAATACCCACGAGGACCCTGCACTTTTCACTTGAATCGTCACAGCAGTCCTGTAAAGGAGATACTGCTCTTGGGAATTGAAGCGTGGAAAGTTTGTGGAAAAATTGTCTAAGTCATAAATCATATACAGGTTAATGCTGAGAACATGCTTGGTGAACATTCTGTTCAGAGCCTGGCACAGTTGGACTTTGAGCTCATGCTCCTGACAGGTACAGGCAGTGTACCCTCATCACAAGTCATTTGGGCTGTCGTGCTGATTTTCTGTAAAGCCTCTCAGTTTGACCACTTGCTAATTAATACCTCTCTACACATTAGGAGAGCATGTACTATTTGGGTTCATGCTAGCAGGGTCTATTGAGGACAGTCCCAAGCACCTGTTCTTCCTGCAACCAAATGCTGATAGCTCTATTAATGCTAGCTAGCCAATGTAATAGGGTGTCTTTTCCTCGCAGTTCATTGATTATAAACTCTTAACTTTAAGTATTTATATGTTTCCTATAAAGTATTTGTCTAAATGAAGTAATGGTTTTCAGGAGCACTGGTGTAAATTCTGAGCAGTGTCCTTTGTAGACCATTGTCAAAGACCTCCTTCTGTTGCTTCTCTTGTGGAAAATTATGCAAAAACAAAAAGGTAGTGAATGACTCATTTTGTTTTCTTTTTCTGATTGCAGGTTGATGACCAAATGAAGCTGCTTCAGAATTGCTGGAGTGAACTCTTAATCCTCGACCACATTTACCGACAAGTGGTACACGGAAAGGAAGGATCCATCTTCCTGGTTACTGGGCAACAAGTGAGTGTGGAGGGGGGGAAAAGCATCTTTTTATTAAGCATGTTCAGAATGGCAGGAATTTAACTAGGTCAGAAGCACGCTTGTGCTTTCAAAGGGAGACATTGGCTACAAATAATTTAGAAATGATGACTTGGTGCGTTCCGTTCCTGCTCTGATCATTACAGATGAACTTGTAAAAGCAAACATAATCACTAGTCTTCTGCCTCCAGGCCACAGGGATGGAAAGTCCAGGACCACTGCTAAATCAATCCGGGGTCTCCCCCTCAGCTTCTGTTTTAGCATCCACACTTGTTTGTTAGCTACTGAGAAAACCTTGTAAGTCATAGCAGCCTTGCTATTTTGGGGATTCTATTAGTAGACAAGATTGAGTCAAATGTCACATACAGTTGAAATACTTGCATAAAGACCAGTATGTGAGAAGGGACAGGAGTTCCATTTTCAGAGTCAGTCATTCAAAAAGAAAGGGAAAAAAATTTCTGTTAGGCTTTACTCCTTTCTGATTAGGTTTTTGTTGAGTCAAGAAATATTTGTGAGGGGAAAGGGAAGGTGTCCCAAATAATGTATACACATATAAGTAAATATAAAAATGCTAAAATAAAATTAAAATTAAAAAAGTCAAAATTGAAAATAAGGACAAAAATAAGAGAAATATTTATTAGTCTGGGATATAACTCCAGTGGTCAAGTGCACCTCGTATGTGCGTGGCCCTGGGTTCAATCCTTAGCACCGCAAGCAAAAGAAAAAGTATTTGCAGTAGACCCTTGGTATCTGCAAGGGTCTGGTGTCATGGTGGCCGCTGCTGAGGAAAACTCAGACTGCACAGAGTTCAGCAGTGGGTGTGGATGCCTGACTCATTTTCCCCAAACAACACCCAGCTTCCCCTGAAGTAATGCCACCTTTCAACAAAGCTCAGATTTTCACTCTGACACTTCAATTAAGCCCATTGCATGCCCCTTTTGGCTTGGGAGGATTACATTTACCTTGCTTTTTGGACATAGCTGGCTTTGGGGAGGCAGATTTTCACAAAATTAAGGGAAGGGAGACACTCAGCAAATCACACGATTTAAACACAGCTGAATGAGCTGTATCACCTCAGCTGTGTAATGTGTGCGAGAATTTCAATGTTTTGCTTTTGAAGTTTCTTCTGCTTGCTTGATGATTCTTTATTTATTTATTTATGAATGACCTTGCTTGTTCAAAATGACATAAGTCCATAAAAAAGGTGGGCTTACTGTGTTGAACATTCTACTGTCTGTTAGTCACTGTTCTCAGGCCGTAGCATATATTAGTGAACTAAACAAACAAAAAAATCCTGTTCTTATGGAACTTAACATTGTAGCAGGGAGCAGTTGACAGCTGGCAGCAATGCTAGTACAAAACACTGCAATAAGCAGGGTGCTGGTGGCTCACACCTGTAATCCCAGCTACTCAGGAGGCAAAGATCAGGAAGATCATGGTTCAAAGTCAGGCTAGGCAAACCCTATCTCAAAATACCCATCACAAAACAGGGCTGGTGAATGGTTCAAGTGGTAGAGTGCCTGCCCAGCAAGGAAGACGGAACAGTCGGGGGGCGAGGCGGGGGATGAATATGGTACAAATACTGTGTACATGTGTATGTAAATGCAAAAATGATGCCTGTCAAATCTGTTCCAGGAATGGGAGGGAGTGGGTGAAAGGTAGTAGTGGAAGGGGTGAATTCAAGTATAATATATTTGATACATTATAAGAACCTTTATAAATGTCACAGTATTTTCTACCCAGCATAACAGTAAAGAAAAGAAAAAAGGGCTGGTGGAGTGGTTCAAGTGGTAGAGTGCCTGTCTAGCAAGGGTGAGGCCCTGAGTTCAAACCCCAGTACTGCCCCTCTCCCCGCAAAAACCCAAACAAAAAAATACCCCTGCAATTTATTAGAGCTCAAAGTGCTTTTGAAGAAAAGAAGGACAAATTAAAAAAAAAAAAAAAAACAGTAGGAAGTGGGAATCGGCATGAATCCACAGATGTGTGCTGCGGCGTGACTCGTGGATTGTGGTGTTTAATTGGATGGTTGGTTTAACCTTATGGAGAAAATGACATTTGAGCAAGACTTAAAGGAAGAGAGACCTCCACGTAGACATCTGGAGAATGAGAGACCCCACTTAATGGTCTAAGTTCTCCTTTGTAGAATTTGGGCAAGTGCCTCTGGGTTTTTTACCCTCTGCCCTGCAGCTGATGGTTTAGTAAAGTCAAGTGCATGGAACACCATGATTCCTGTGTGCGCTTGGGTCATGCCTGTTCAGCGAACTGCAGCATCGGTGACTCTGGTCCTTAGGCACCGTGATCTTTTACATCCAGCCATAAATGTTTATATGCGTGAAACCTCAGCAGTGCATATTTGAAAATCAAAAGCCATCTCCACACCATTTGCTGTGTTATTAATAAATCACACTTTTCCAATCAAATTAAAGGCAAGCACTGTTTCAGAGTTTGTGCAGACTGGATCAATCTGACCGTGTCTGTGGCTGCCTGGTCCCTGCTCTCTACATTTCTTGGGAGAAAGTGTTCTAGATAAGAAAATGGGCTTAGCTTTCAAATTTTTGTTTGCTGGTTTCACCAAGTGTGCCAAGCCTCTGGAGGAGATGTATCCATTTCTGAGTCCAGTCACTGGGTATGCCTCCCACCTCCCCTCCCAACCCCCCCCCAACCAGGAGCTGCGTTAGAAATACAAGACTCAGCTCACAAGTTAATTCCATTTCCTTCCCTTCAGAGTTTTAAGACCTGAAATGGGTTTGTACCGTTCCTTCCCTGCTCTTTAGAAATCTTCCTTATTTTCCGTTTCATTTTGATTTAAGTGCTGCTCCTGGGAAAGGTAATTGCTATTTAAAAAGTAGAGAAAGTGCCTTTCTTGTCTCTGATTTTTACAACCGAGAACAATCACAGAGTGAATAACGGTACAGCGTTTACTGTCAATTATCACCGCTTGGTATGTTGCGTCCGAATGGAAGGGGGGGGACAGCGTCTTTTCTCAAGCTCTTCCTGCAGTCGTAGTCTTCCTGCTTCCCCCCCCCCGACCCTGAACATGAGCCAGAGGTCGATCAAAGCCCCTCCCTTGGGTTGCTCCACCAATCCAAGAGAATTGGGATTGGTGATTCTCATTTATGGCTACTATGAATGCAATCTTTATTTTCGATCATGAAATAAGCTAGACAAGGCATTTTAAACCTTTCTTTGGGCTTCATGCAGTTACAACAAATGAAAGCAGAAGTACTGTGACAGAGCTGGGCATAATGGTGCACATCTGTAATCCCAGCACTTGGGAGGCAGAGGAAGGAGGATCTTGAGTTCAAGGCCAGCTGGGGTTACGTAATTTGAACCTGTCTCAAAAAAACAAAAAACACACTCACAAAGTGCTTCGAGGAAGACTTTGCAAAGCACATAACCTCTTCACAGAATGAAAGAAAATGTCTATAGGGGGCAAGTTCTGGGGATCACACCCAGAGCCTCATGTATGCTAAGCGCACACACTGTACAGCTGAACTACATCCAGCCCCAGAAAGATATTTGATTGCAACATGACATTCACACAATGCTACACCAACTGCCATGCTGAATATGTTCAACCCATGATAAATGTGAAAGGACTGTACTAAACGGAACTCTTGTACCTCTTACCCAAAGGCTGAACTAAAATAACTAAGACCCAAAACCCACAGTAACCATCCCACCCCGGCTCCCTGTCTTGCTCGTCTCTTCTCCACCCTCCAGCCAACTCTCATGAGCCTAGGATTCCAACAGTAAGTCACTTTTCACTGCTATAACTGCTTCCTGGCCTGTACACTTGGGAGACAGTTGAAAATCCCCAAGTACAATTTTCTTGGAATGGTAAATACTTTACTGAATTCAAAGGACCAGGGAAATTAGGTTTTTGTCAAAGCCGCAAAAGTCACAAGAATAATAAATTATTTGGTGTACGTCAATCTTAAGAAGCTAATTAAAACAATGATTTTAAAAGGAAAGGAATATATTAAGTATAAAAAAACATAAAACAGTATTCTAGAGAAAAAGTGGTTGTGAAAAACAGGAATATATGGAAGTAACAAAAAAAAAAAACCAGAAAAAAGAGACACAGTTCTTCTTAGATTTACATTCTAATAACAACTGACCCATAGGTAGTTTTTGTTTTGTTTTGTTTTGTTTTTTAAAACAGGGTCTCGACATGTAGCCCAGGCTGCCCTCAAACTTATGACCTCTGTCTCAGTCTCTCTCGTGTTGGGATTAGTCTGGCTAGAGTCTATTTGCATTATCAGTGCAGTTGTGTGGGTTTGTTGTGGAAATGGTGAGTGTGCATACAGGATGTGTGTGTGTGTGTGTGTGTGTGTATACTCAGCCTAACAGATCAACCTGTTTTGTGTCCCCATTCCAAAAACGTAACCAGCTATGTCATTCTTGAGCAAGCCCTTTCAAGCTTCAGTCTCCTCACCTGTCCTGTGGCTATAATGATAGCCACAAGAGAGAATGGTTGCAAGGAAAAGTTCCATAAACCACTGATATAAAAACTCGAAGTCGTCAAAAATAGACAGATGGCTAGCATTTACGAAGCCAACTGTTCAATGCAGAAAACATTATCGTCCCCTTTTTGCAGATCAGGAACTGAGACAAAGGGAGATGAGGTACCTGATGCAAGGTGGCAAAACAAATATTGTTTGTTTTATTTTTATATTATTATTACTATCATGATCATTTGGTGGTACTGGGGTTCGAACCCAGGACCTCACAATTGGTAGACAGGTGCTCTATCTGAGCCACACCCCACCCCAACCCTTACTTATTTTTGAGACAGAGGTCTCACTATTTTGATCCTCCCACCTCAAGCCTCCCAATTAGCTGGGATTACAGGTGCCTGCCACTGTGCCCAGCTTAGAATTTGTATTCTTAACCAACACGCCATCTCACCTTTCTGTGTAGCTGACAGATGCTACAGAGCTCGCCTTCACACAGCTTTCTAATTTGGTCTTCATGTACGAGTTCAGTGCCCAGCAGCCTCTTGGGAACTTCCAAGAGCAGCGGATTCATTTCTCTTTATGGAAACTAACAACATGAGCTTTTTTATGTTCTTTTTTGTTGTGATAGTTTTCTCAGGGTGGAGGAGTGGTCTTATAAACACACTGCAATGGTAAATTTAAATTATTCGGAAGCAATTTTAATGTGCTTACCATATACTGTTATAAAATAATTTCAGCATTAAGAAAAAAGAAACAAGAAGAAGAAAAATATTCTCATAATGGCACCACGACGAAACCTACTGTTTTTGTTAGAATTGTCTTCCAGTCTTTGGAAACCATATTTTTTATTGATTGATCAATTGATTGATTAGCAGTTCTAGGTTTGATCTCAGGTACCTATATTCTAAATAAGGAGATTTCCTACTTCTTTAAGTAAAAGTGTTGCCACAGAGACATAATTACCTCCTGCCATGGATTTGTGTGGGCTGTGACTTGAAGACAAGAATAGAAGTCATAATGTTGCTATCATGGGGTAAAAAATTAAATCTTACATTATACTGACACAGCAGGCAACATGCACCTACAGACAGTTTGGTTGGCACTCAGCTCTAGGTGAGGAAGAAATGATTTTGCTTAGTAACAAATATTTCTGATCGCATGATAAGTGAAGGGAAATGAAAATGTGAGGGGTGTGACACCCCCCCCCCCGCCCTGCAGTGGTAGTGATAAGAGACGGAATTCCTCCATTCTATTCATGACACCCATGACCGCCCTTCCCATGGACTGTGCCCTGCGCGCTTTCACAAGTGAGGCCCTGGCACAGGCTCAGCTGTGATGCCAGAAGAGTTCCAGGAGGAGGTGGGAGGAGAAAGGGTAGGCATTCAACACTGGCTAGGTGTCACAGCTTCTAGAAGGGAGCACTGCACCCTACAGCAAAGCCATGTGACCATCCTCTGCCTAGCAATCGGAGGCTGACATCAGGTCTTCATATGCTCCCAAAGGAGAACTGATGAGGAATTGCTGGATAAGCCTTCACCTGAACTCCACAGTGTTTTCTACCTCACAATTGCTCATGATAAATTCCCACATTCCTTGTACAGTTGTGAGCCACTGATGCCTGGCCGAGACTGAATTTTTAAAGTGAGGGATGTAGGTCGGTGGTAGATGCTTGTGAAGCCTAGGGTTTGATGGGAAGGGAAGAAAAGGAGAAAGGGAATGGAGGGAGAGAGGGAGGGTGGGAGGGAGAGAGGAAGAGAAAGATGAAGAGAATAGGAAACTGCTACTTGATGCTTGAAGAAAGAGAAGACAGATTTAAAACCCACACTTTTCTCTGGTGACCGGGGAGTTGGCTGGATTTCTCCATGATCTTGCATCCTCTCCTGTCCAACCGGAGCTGGAGTGACTGAAATACACTGCAGGCACCTTCCAGGACGTCAGCCCGAGCACTGACGTGAGGGTCACGTGTTTCATGCCAGGTTTTTCACTTAGCTCTGGAGTTTGCTCTCATGTTTTAATGGTGTCTTTTCATCAGGTGTCTGTATCAGGGCACGGTAAATAACTATGAAGCAAAAAGGCAATAAAATTGATCAGTAATATTGGCAGTGTCGAATCAGTTCTCGAATTTATGACAGGAATTCTTTTGTACCCAGTAACCACACACACACCTGTGTCAATCAAGTACCAGGGCACTCTGACATGAGGTCAGACTTTAGTATTTGTATATTACAGCTAATTACCAGCTACTGTGATATTGTCCTAAGGGAAAGGACTGTCTTCTATCACTGTCATCATATTAAAATGACAGGCATCTTACAATACACCAATCATCAAAATCGCAGAGATTAGGACTAAAAGCTGTTTAGCTAAAATGGTTCCTACCTTTGTATGAGAGAAATTTATCAAAAGGGGATCTGGGTGCAGAGTATTTCTTCAATATGTCCCTGAATTTAATGGCATGACGATTACATGTAAGAGAGCAATAAATTAATTTTACTAAGTACATAAAAGACAAGGCCAGCTGCTTCCGAAATGAACACAGACTCTGCATTCAACAATGAAAATATAATTATGTTTGTAATGAAATGTAAGGAAGTTGCACTTCTGTGTGTTTCAGGAATAACTCACCCTTCCTCCCTTAGAGCAGTGCAGTCTGATAAATTATCCTTGAAAGAAATGTTTTCAGAGCCCACATTTAATAAGCATGTTTGAGCCTTCAAGTTAGCATGTAAATAAGTGTGTGACTATAAAGTTGTTGATATGCCAATTGGTTTCCTGAGAGCCACCTCACCAAAGGTCTCTCCCTAAATGTGCAATCCTATGGAGCAATTTGTAGATTCCTGTCTGCTAGAGCACACTACATTTTCAAATCTGGAATTCTATTATTTGAACTTATCCGTATACACTTATTGGAACTACGCACACATGAAATTTAATTAAACCCATCTTCATAGCAAGAAATCAATACCACAAAGTTGTGTTTTATTTGAAACAATTTTCCTAGTTTTGGACTTAAGTAATTTTTTTTATAGAAATGTATTTTGTATGCATTAAGCTACAGCCATACTGCATTCAATTGGTTCCAAACTTAAATTAGCAGTATTGGTCCAACCCTGATTATTTCTTAATAATTCCAGAAGTGGAAGCACCCGCTTGTCATCGTCTGGCTTCACTGCCCATCTAACAGTGAGGGCACCAAGGGAGAGATATGTTGTCTAGCTTATGACACCCTTTCATTGTAAGGGGCAGCCGTGGCCCACTGCCACATCACTGGGCCGGCCTGCTGTCATTCACTCATCTACTGGGTCACTGTAGAGTTTCTGTTATAGGTTTAGCATCCCTTATCCAAAATGCTGGAACCATGTGTTTCTAATTCAATTTTTTAAAATTTTGGAATATTTGTATATACATGATGAGTTATCTTGGGCCCGAAACCCATGTCTAAGCATGAAATTAATTTATATTTCATATAAACCATATACAACACAGCCTGAAGATTACTTTGTAGGATACTTTCAGTGTACCTGTATTTTTTTGTTTGTTTGTTTCCTGAGGTCATGTGAGGAAGCTATTTCCACTGTGGTGCTGTGTTGGCAGACAAAAAGGTTTTGTTTGGGGACATTTCAGATCTCTGGATTAGGGATGTTCAGCCTATATTTCTACCTGAGGTAGCAGGTGAACAGGCAGGTTTTAAATAATTCAGAGCTCAGACACCACTTTTGAGTAAGGGCTTCCTTGAAGTACAAAGTTCCCTGTGAGGACTGGCAGAGGCGGAGCTGAGCATCTCTTTCCATGTATGGCCAGTGCTCCCCCCAGGGCCCTGCAGTGCCCCCCAGCTCAGTCCATCTTCTGTCCTGGGTGCAGGTTACCTGTGCACTGACCCTTTCTTTCCCATGTTCTGAAATAGCATTCCAGGAGCTCTTAGAACACTTGCTGTCTAAATTCAGTAGGCAGATGCCAGCCTGGGCATGGCTACAGAGCAGGACACAGAGGCTCTCAGAGCCCGGTGCCCGAGCTTTCTTATGACACGTTAATGGTGGCTTTTTCATGCATAGTTGACTTTCTCTAAACTGATTGACACCTTGTGGGGGGGGGGTCTGTCTTTCCACTAACTCACAATTTTTCTCCCTCTTGAAAAAAGGTTTCTATACACCCACTATTCTCTAGTTAAAGCCGAAAATTCAACTCATCATATTTACAAAATAAAAAAAATCTATTCTGCCTTGTTTTTAATTGCAAATTCTTCTCCAGGGACCAGTTCTCCTGCTTAGGAGGCATCCAGTGCCTTCTCCTAGAGAAGCAAGCGCAGTCAATTATGGTAATGAAATGTCAATAAGTATGAAAATTTAATAAGTCTGCACTGGGTGAGTGGCAGATGAGGACTTGCCTCCCAGACAAACCTGCTGTTGCAGCAAATATTAAATGCACCTGAAAGAGCGACTGCTTGCACGAGCGCTCCCCAGCAAAGCAAGGCTGGGGTTGCCAGCCACCCAACACAGCGGCTGTGCTGGTTCTGCGACTGACAGCTCTCCAACATCTTAACTTCTTATATGTCCCCGTAACCTTAGGTTATTTTTTTTTTTCAGTACACAGGGAAATAAGCCTTTTGTTTTTCCAGATCAAGGAATTATTCTTGTTATAAATAAGGTCATTGCTGTCTTTAGAGAGAGATGAATTATACTGATGGAAACCAATTTATTTATTTAATTTGTTTATTTTTTTTCTTTGCGAGGGGTTGGAAGTACAGGGTTTGAACTCAGGGCCTCGTGCTTGTAAGGCGGGCACTATACCACCTGAGCCCCTCCCCCAGCCCTTGGGATCTAATGTAATCCCTTGAAAGTAGTGGTTTCATGGCATCACTAAGAAAAACAGTACCTGAAGGCCATGCGTAGTGGCACACACATGTAATGCCAACACTCTGGAGGATTCTGAGCTCAGAGCCAGCCTGGGCTACGTAGCAGACCCCACCTCCAGGAAGGAAGGAAGGAAGGAGATACAATACTTTAAATTTGATTCATTCATCATTCACAAGCATGCAATTTTGAGTCAGGATGATATTAAAATGTACTCTCATAATACAAATAGAAATATGTCTCCACCTTTATTTCCCTCGTACACTAGCTCATGTCATTGTGTACATACAGAATGATCTCCTTGACTGTGGACAGTGTATTTTTCTTTCAACTTGTCCCTGAGAGTTAAAAATATTTACCTTATGTGACAATGTTATTCTATAACAGAAAGAATATATATATAGAGAGAGAGAGAGAGAGAAAATTTAGGCAATTGAGATCTATTTCTTACAAAGCTTATCAACCCTGGTAGATTTATCAGCATAATTGTGGCACATTTTACAACAGAGCAGGTTTCAAAGCTGTTGCAAGGGAAAAGTTGCCTCTGCTAGCGGTCTGTATATGGCAACCTGATTTTGTCCACAATTCTCAGTAGTCTCAACTGGAGCATGTAGTTCTGGTTCCAGTCATGTAACGACTGTGTTCTGTGTTGCAGGTGGACTATTCTCTCATAGTGTCCCAAGCTGGCGCCACCCTCAACAACCTCATGAGTCACGCGCAGGAGCTAGTGGCAAAACTTCGCTCCCTGCAGTTTGATCAACGAGAGTTTGTGTGTCTGAAGTTCTTGGTGCTCTTTAGTTTAGGTAAGAAAATCTTTCCTCATACTAATATGACCTAAATCATGCCAAGCATGGACTGTCTTGATGCCACTGTATTTTTACTCTGCTGAGATAATGCCTTTCCTTTTAAATCACAAAATCTTCAAACACAAGTGTGTTTTTGTACTACCCGTATTTGTTATCCTTATCCCTTCCAATTGAGAAGTTACTCACTTGGAGTCCTGGGTTTTCTTCCATGACTGACTAGTAAACAACCACGCGATAAAGTTATGGCAGAGGTTTACAGAGGTGGGGCAGGAACGGTGCATGGTGCAAATCATAGCCGTCTTCCTGCCACAGGTCATTTCTACGTGTGCCTTTTGCTTCAGCTCGTTACCTACTGTTGCTTTTGTTCTTCTAAAATGTGGGTCGTAATTAAAAGCCTCTTTGTAAATTTTCTATCCAGATTAACTAGAGAATGTCTGCCTCCAGATGTGCCAGCATGCAAGTCTGGAGGGTGGCAGGTGTCAAGGGGAAGGATGGTTCGTCAGCAAAGCCTTGGGGAAAAAGATAACTAAGCAAGACAGATTATCTAAATCAAGGTTCCCCTGGATTCCCAGCTGAGAAAAATCACCACTCCTTGGAATAAAAAAAGGATTAAGGAGATGGATTTTTATTGACTTCAAAGAAACAGATTTTTCTGCCTGTCCCTTACTTGATTTCTGTGTTTTGTTGGCTTAATAAAGCCAACTTAAATAAACTTTTTGCCAAGTCCATTTATTTCACGTTGGCAGACAGCTGAGGGAGGTAGCTTCCCTTGAATGAAAAAAAAAAAAAAGCAGAAGTTGGGTTTACCAGCACATGTTTTTTCTTTAGTCTTTAGTTAAAGATAGTTGTGAATTCATATCCCAAGAAATAAAACAATAAACTGCAAAGTAAAACAGATGTGTCTGCTCGCCAAATTGGGCACTTTAGTTTTAAAATTCCTCTTGACAGCACTGCACAACTGTTGCTAATAAAGAAATAGTTTGAAGTAATTGAAGCAGAGTTAATTTTTCTCATATAGTGCACATTTTAAATAAAACAGCATTTTTATGTTTTGGAAAGTGTGATAAATATAGCAAAAAAAAGATGTCACTGAAAATGTAAAACGACAAGAGAATTCTGTAGTTGGAGTGTTCAAAGGTTTACCATGTCAAGACTGGATCCTGTGTGGTTTCTGTACTCACCACAGCAATCAGAAAAGCTCCACTCAAATAAGTCTGCATCTGTCACCCAAGAACTGTTTTTACAGAGTCAAGGGTGAGATAGCACAGGCAAGCAACCTCACAAATTACTCAGGTTTATGACAAGAGCTTAGTACATTTGATCAGTAGTTAAATGGAAAATGCAGTTCTGTATGTGTAAGCAGTCTTGCAGAATCTTAAAGATCAAATATTTAGAAGGCGGCGTCTCACATGAATGGTATTCTGAATTTGTGGAAGGACCATATTACATTGGAAGCTCTGCATATTCCCCAAGACCTGTATTTCATTTTCATCACTTTTATCTTGCCTTTCTCATTTTTCAAATTATTTTTTCTCTGCCAATTTCTCAGGAAGGGGGGCGCAAGGAATGGATCTGAAATAATTTCAACTTTTGATCCTTGCAAGTTATCTTCGTGAACAACTGTGTTTACCACACTCTTGTTTAATGAGTGTGTTGACTGTTTCAGCAACACAGGATAGTGAATAGCTAGCCTAAATGTGATTAAAACTGTGTCTACTGGTTGGTTAAGGAAGAAAGGAAATGTGGCTTTTAGATTCCAGTAAATGGAGCTGGGGCCAAGAGTTCATTTCTAAAGAAGGAGGGAAGAAAGTAATTGGCAATAAAATTCAGGTGGTTTCCACTTTATGAGCGAAAACCTTTCTTTTCCACAGAAACAATAGGTAATCAATCTTTTTTTTCATTTCAACTTTATTGAGTTCTGACATGCCCCCAAACACTTTTGTTTTATCAATGATCAAGTCAACTTTTCTAAACTGGAGTCCAACTTCTAAGCCATGTCTCGGTGTCACAAACCCTCATGGGTCTTGAGTCTCCTGACTCTGAATCAAATAGGTTCTGATCCCAGGCCAGCCTAGGCTCCTCACCTCCTGAAGAGAAGTGAGGAGTTTATGAACTGGTCAGGGCTGTGTGGGGAGAGGGTTGCAGCAGGGTTCTTATGTAAGAGATGAAACTAGCTTTTCCAGATAGATTTGGTGAGAAAGGTAAGGTAAAATCCACATATTCTAAGCCAAAAGAAGGACCAATGCAGCAGTTCAATGGCAAGAGACAACAGGATGAGCTGGGGAGCAGTTTGTAGTGAAAATGGCCTGGGGGAAGCAGCAGTCAGGGTTGGAGAAGCAGGGGACAAACTGGCCTCAGATACTTGCAAGAAATCCTCAGCACACTGTCTGTGTGTCAGGCCCTGAGCTGGGCACTGGGGATACAGTGCAGCAAAAGCAGGTGCCACAGAGCTCACTGTGTAGGCACCTGGGAGTCACAGCAGAACCTCAGATTCAGGTGAGCTGGGTAGTGCAGGTTAACTTGCCTTTCTCCAGCAATGTGGAGAGAGTTGGTTTTGATACTTCATGGGAATGGCAACGAGATGAGGCATGATATAAACTGATAGGGGCCAGTGACAGGTTACAAACCACAGGATGTGACAGTTGAAAAGGAGAAGCCTAGAATGAGACTCAGGCTTCTGGGTGTTTAGCTAGAATAGAAAAATCTGTAGGAACTACATCTGATCTACTAAGTCATAGCAGTTCCAGGGACAGCCACCCCCTCCCCATACACACATGTCATTCCAACTGGTGCTGATCGCTGATTCCACAAAAAGCTACATGATGGGACCCAAATCAAAAGCACATTTCACTAAGAATCTTCCGCTGTGTGTGATGTCTGATATTGACCCCTCAGACTGAACCCATGAGCAGGCATCAATTGGTAAAGTTGGTCAGAAAAGGAACTAAAACTTTAAAAAATGTCCTGCTTGCTTTCTCTCTGTAGATTATATGACAGGCCCTGGAGACTCAACTTCTGCTGTTGGAAAATGTTCTTTGAGTCCTGTTAAATTGCTTAAATATGAGGATATAATTTCCACCCATTGATGACTTGGCAGAAAAGGAGATAATCTAAGTTGGGCAGTTAAAATTGATGACCCAAGATCCAAAAGATAAACATCTACACAAAAACAAGCATGACCGTACTCAAACTCATATGTAGGACATGTTTGTGACAGTGGGACTACTCTGTGGAAGTAAGAGGGACAGGATCATTATGTGATGATAGAGCCTCAGTAATATCATAAAACATAACATCTGTGAAGAGAGGCTATAAGGATGTGGATTGAAAGCTGTTGAAAAATGGGGGAGGGAGGTTAAGGGGAAAGGGAGAGCAATCGAAGGGGTTGAACAGACCCAAGTAAGGCCCACCCACAGTGGGCATACATTGAGACACCCCTTTGAACATCAACTTAAATATTAATAATGAAAACCAGGACTGTAACATAGGTACAGTGTGGGGGGACTAGTGGAAGGGGGAAGGGTGAGTGGGAGAGATGAAGGTGACAGTATATGGTCGATGGACTTCATACACCTATATGAAATAGGACAAAGAAACCTCTTGCAATTGCTTTAAGTGTGGTGGGGAGGGGTTGGGGGAGAAACGATGGGGGGCAGCGTAAATAATGTACAATGTAAGTCTAATCGGAATTGTCACTATGAATCCCCCCTGTATAACAAATATATCCTAATAAAAAAATTGATGGCCCAAGAGAAACCAAAATAAAAATTTTAATGTTTATTTATTAGTTTGTACTCCCAACTGCTTCTAACAAGGAATCAAAGTGACAGATGAAATTTGCTCTCTGTCAACCATCAATGTAGAAATAAATTCTTGAGAAGAAGCAGTGCAGGTTATAATGATCCCAGTATCGTTGTGGACCCAATTTAGACAAGTAAAATTCCCATAGACTGAATTCTCCTGAAGACAGAGTCAGAACGGGGAAGGTTTTTAACTGCAGCATTCTGAATAATGTGTCATCCATGATCAAGGCTGTCAGGAGTACGGATGTGGAATAAGCACTCAAAGCAAAAAGCAACTACAGGGTGCGACAGCTAAAAAGGACAAGTGCAGAATGACTCCGGTTTCTGGGCGTTTCGCTAGAACAGAAAAATCTGCAAGAATAGTAGTCAATCAGCTGAGTCAGAATTCATCAGTTCTGCCCTGGATATTTTCCTCTCCTTGAGACTCAGTGGCTAGATGCTGCTGGACTCTCATTATACCCCAAGTGGCAAAAGGAAAAACTCAAAATATACTACATCCTGATTCCCTAAAAAGTGTCCCTGATTTGATGATTTGGTGTAAATTATCCTATTCTAGGATCAGCCCCGCCCCCTTTTTTTGTGACAGTAAAATTGGATCCAGAGCCCAGACTCACTAGGGAAGCACTGTCTACCATTAGAGCTGCACCCCAGCCTCCTAAGCAGACAATATTTCTGAAAGTACTTTTGATATTTAGCTGCGTTATATCCATTGTGGTTCTCTGTGAGGGGATGCCCCCCTTGTAAAAAGTGGCTAGTATTTGTTTCCAGCCTCTGTAAGTTGAGATTCTTAGTCCACTGAAAAGGGACTGTTGCTCAGTGTCCATCACCGGTGGAAATTCTCCTTTAAGTATTCTCTGTTGGCCAGGTACAGAAAGCTCACTGATAAAATGCATGAACACATGGACTTATTAGTTTCAAACTTAAGAAAAGCTTTATCAAAGGGTACTAAGAAGTTAGTTTAGCCAAAAATTATGTCTCGAATACAGGTTAGTTTTCTGAGACTAGGTTTCAAAATGCTCCCTAACAGTAGCTCCTCAAAATTATTTCTGCCATCAGTTGACATTCTCCCGGTTCGAATAGAAAATGTTTACTTCTAGCCTTTGGAATAGCTACTTGAGAAAGACTCGAAAGAATATTGCTGGTTCAAACCAGGTGATCCATGCATGCACCTCTGTTGCCAGCAAAGGCATGAGC